CCTTTCTTTTGAGGTTCTGCTAACACCAGTCAGAATGCTTTTTCCATTATAGCATTTTTTATCAATATACCTTGAGTTAATGAATTTCCTTACATATTCTCCTGGTCTTAAGTGTGTGCTTTGGTGCAGTGGTCTGTCACAGTAGATTGTTTTCACACAGCTGACAAATCTTTACATTCAGTTAGAGAAAATAACTAGTTTCAATGTCTAGTTTGCCCACACTGACTGCTGTTTAAAACCTGAATGAATTAGACCTGGCTTTTCCAGTTGTATTTTTCAAATTATTAAGAAGACCAAGGTACCCATATAAATTAGGGTCACTTTTCGTTTATAGTAAAGGAAAAATACTACATTCTTAGTGCAAAATATGATGTAAGCTTCAGCTTTGGATAATTGCATTAGAAGTATTTCCTATATATTTTTTTAAAGCTAAAAAGTTTTGCTCAGCTCTTCTCAAGAACATTTGTAATTATACTCATGATCTCATTAGGCCTTCAAAGGTCTCCTTTCATGGGAATTCAGGAGTTTTTGAAGGGATCACTATTTTAATTGGGAAGGTAGGATCTTGAGACAGTGAAAAGGGAAGCAGCAGGAGCATATTTGAACACATCCAGGAATCAGAGCAGTTCTGCACAGATTTGTTCTTTCTCCAGGCTGTCACTGCAAACGTACTTTTTGGGAAGCAGAGCAAGGCAAAGTAGACTTGGCTGATAATGATTGGTGTCAGGAGATAAATACTTGAAACTTGCACTTTGTCATCACTGTAGCTTTAAAAATCACTGCTGCTCTCAGTTCTTCTGGTCAAAGTATACTTCTGATTATTATTTAACTCTTCCCTATTGCTTGGGTTAAAAAAAAAAAACAAGTTATGATCTGCTTGTGGCAACTGAGTTGAGTTGAGTTGGGTGCTATCAGGCTGTAGTTTAGCTGGAAAAATGGGCAAGAAAAAGCTTCCAATAAAGAAAATTATAACAAGCACCTGTGGCAACAGTCAACCAAAATGTACAGCACTTCCAGACATCTGACATAAGCTGTCCCACGCAGGTGATTTTGTGACATTCTGTCTAAGGCTCTGGGTGCTCCAAGCACTCAAATGTCTGTGTTGGATTATTTTATTTTTTAAACCAGTGATTTTCTAAACCTATTTGCAATGGTGTAAATTCAGAGAAATGCCATGAAAGGCAATGGATTTATGTTGTTACAAAATTAATGCCAAAGCCAGTTGTGCTGGTAACACTTGCTAGCTACATTTGTCCAAGTTAGTTCCAGGCGGTTGCTACAGTAAGTTAGAAATAGCCATCATTAATTAAATGTCAAGAGAAAGAAGAAAACACTTTCTGTAACAATGCTCCTTCTTGTTTGTTCAGTGCCACATATGAAATGCTGTAAATGGAGGAAAATTACTCAATCCAGATACAAAAACTATTTTATAGTCTGTTTCATAATATGCCAAGGTATTTGGCTCCCAGATGCAGTTGAATTTCAGAAGATGTTTTGTTCCATCGATAGATGGAATGAGTAGAGCTGGGACACTTACAATGAAAAGAGGTGGCTAGGGTTCTTCTGTGTTTTCAGATGCAGATTTCAAAAACTACTGATTTGTAGCTGGCATTCCATAGAATTCATAGATTAAAAATTCATAGATTGTGGGGGGTGGGGATGATGCTGTAATCTTTTCCGAGTACCAAGGACGCGGAATTCTAGTAGCAGTTGCACCACTGCCAAAAGGAGGGGTAGTACAACCTCTGTACTCGTACCTTATATCCCCATTTATACATGTGAAGTTCACACTGGGCATATCAACCGATATTGAAACTGTATTCAGGCACCTCCACACACTTCCTAGCATAGATATCTCCCATTCAAAATCTTGCCTACCTTTTAATTTCTATTTATTCTAAATCTGTTTGTGACGTTTTATACATTCAGTGCTTATACCAATTGGCTAAGGAGCTCAGACTGCTGTATACTGGTGGTACACCAGTAAAACAATGGCTGTGTCAGCTGCAGATCTTTAACAGTGAGTTTCTGGTGTTTTGGTTTTTTTCCCCATTGCACTGATTAACATTAACTGGAAAGGGGTGAGAACTGATTTCTGTGGGATCCATCAGAAATATACCTGTTCTGTGTTCATCTTCTGCTTATAACTTGAAAACTATAATTGGGTTTCAAGGCATTTTATATGTGATTTTTTGATTATTTTTTTTTTTTCATATCAGTCTAGTTTGTTAAGTTATGTCTGGGCGTTGTGGGAAGCAGTGAGCAAATGAAAGATACACTAACCAATGGAAGCCTGCAGAGCACCTGAAAACAGTCCTCCCACGTGTGCAGAATGCAGTCTCCTGTGCACTAATGGCTGGGAAGAGCAGGCAGAAACACATCTAAGCATCACGACACATGTCATTCCTATTCAAACATGTATCATAAGGCTGGGTGGGAGGAATGAGTTCCTGCTGCGGGTACTGAACTGCCTCATTGCTGCTCTGAATAGAAGTTCTCTGCTACCACTTTAATTATAGTTCTAAAAATGTAATTAATTGAGCTGTAAAAATAGACTCAGGAGACACTTGTTTAAGAAACACAGACCAACATAAGCAGTGCACAAAAACAGTTCTAGAGCTGTCAGTGCTAGCTTTAAATTAGAGAAGTTGTGTTCTATAAGATTTGTCACTGAACTATTGATTTATATTGTCTGTCAAGTGGAACTGAAAGTGGATTCAGAGATTCTGGCAATTAAAGGTTGCATCACATCTGCTCATGTTTCTGTGCTTGTTCACAGCTGATTAATTAATGTCCCTTTTTAAGTGTTTGCTAAAGAAAGAGACAGCATTTGTCTGGGTATCAGTTGTTCAGGAAAATTTCCAAAAGCATGAACTATCTTTCATAAACCTTCTCATACTGGTCTATCCCAGTTTCTAGAATTTTATGATACAAGAAGGCACTTCTGATTATAACTTAGGAGTGCTGTTATCTCAGATTGTGAACCCTGAAGCTTGATTTCATCTGTTCATGTTTGTATTGATTAAGAAAAGCAGAATATAACTGTAGTAGTAGTGACAACAAATACTATTGAAGGAGCCTGGTTCCCCACTTTCTCAGGAAATGGGAAAGTTGTTGTTTGTATTAGAGATTAAATCAGTGTTAAGTGGTGGACTTCATTCTTCTGAAGTTCCCATCTTGCTATCATCTATAGGCAGGCAGAAAAAGAAAGGTGATTGTCTCAGAAGGTGCTAGCTTCTTTCTGAAGCCTGATACTGTTTTATTAAAGTAAATTAGCAGTTCAACCAGTGCAATCCATCCAGTCTCAGACCTCTTAAATACCACGTGAAGGAGTCTCTTGCATGATATATTAGCCTAGATAGATCAGTATCTTTAATTAGATCCCGGTTCCTACAACTGATGGCTTGTGTCTAGGTTGCAAGCTAAATAATCCAGAACAGTTCTGCTTCCTTCAGGATTCCTCAGACAAGTTATAACTTTGCAATAGCAAGATGCTTGGAAGTCCTTCCCAGCCAAGGGTGAGCTACCCAGCAGCTTACTAAGTCAAAGGAAGTTTGTGTGTGCACCAGTTTTTCCTGTTACAGCTCCTACTCAGCTCTCTCTTAGCAGGTTATCTGTTTAAATTTCATTATTGAGCTCACATCTTCCAAACCATGAAAATTACTTTTGTCCTATCTAAGGACATGTTTCTTAATGTTTTCCTCCACCCTACTGCTTAAAAAAAAAAATGGTATTTACTTTTTTAAAATAACAAATAGCTTTTCTTTCCTTAATGCTGTATTTCAGGTTATATCCACACTTTGAAAGAAATGCCAGTTGCCATTTGCCCATGTGTTATATGCAAACAAATGTGCAAATGAGCAAATGAAGAGTAAATGAAACTTGAGAATAATGTGTTACTTTATTAATTTTTATAAATTACTGTCCTGTAACAGCTCCACTCATTCAGCCAACACTCTTCATTATTTGCAAATAATCAGTGATAGTCTTGGTTCTCCTTCTGGTAGCTGCCCTCATTCTTGACACTTCTACATCATTCAGACCTCACATCAAAGATTTGTAATAATTTTTAAAAATTGAGGCTCTGTAGCATGAGGGTAAACAAGTAGTCAGATTTCCCAACCTTAGCAGTTGGAGAAAAAATTACATCCTGACCGAAGAGCAACAAATATTAAGCCTGGTGAGAAAACTGGACCTGTAGTTTTTAAAGCTTTTAACTGTTTCTGTTCAGATTGACTGATGACCTTGATTTACTCATGTCTTCCCAAGTTTGTGTCTTGTCTCATTGTTCTCTTTTAAAGCTGTTTGCGGAAAACCAGTTTTGTGAGGAAAATACCAGCTCCCATTCTTTGGGTCTGATGGATGTTCATATAAAGTGTGAATTGTAGTAGACTCCGTAAAGGGGTGGTGGTGATAACTGGAAGATCATCCCTTAACAGGGAGATTCTGTAAACATGCAAAGGCTGCACATGCTCCCAACTTTATGCAGATCTTCTGTGTAGAACACCTAGAGAAGCAGTAGCTGCTCGTGGGGCAACAGGCAGGAAGAGCTTCTATTCAAAAGGAAATATTTGGCTTTGTAGATGGAATCCTAAAGAAGTGACCATGCACAGAAGATGCTCAAAAGGATGGGCTTGTGTAGGCGTGTCAGAGACAGGACTTGGTGGGTGGTAGGTCAGTCTAGTTTCGCTCCCAGAAAGCTTCAGTTCTCTTGTAGCTTCTGCCACCACTCCTGTGTTTACTCTTGCTCTGCCACAGTCCTTCCTTGACTCTGATATCATTCTAATTCTACACAGTCCTCCTGAAATCCTTCAGCTCCCAAATTGTGCTGTCTGAGCCCTTCTTACAATATTGTGGTGTCTCAATAAACTGCAAGGTGGAGAAAACAGTGACAAAAGCTGTGAATGTGTAAATAAATAAAAGGTGATCTGCCCAAATCATCTGCTGAAAGTTTAGAGCATTGGTATAAAACAAATAATCTCCTGATGTTTCTGTTGCAGGGTGGGAATAACGCAGGCCATACTGTGGTCGTTGATGGGAAAGAATATGATTTTCACCTGTTTCCTAGTGGCATCATTAATCAGAAGGCAATTTCTTTTATTGGTAAGACAATTATGGAACTTGCTATAATAAAGTAACATTACTTAGTGGGTACCTGCAACCATATTTTGTAGTAGCAGACAAAGAAAAACATGTAGGTGACTGTCAACCAAATTTGTTTTCATGTCAGCTGTTTGTATTTTCTTTCAAATTAACATGAGTTACTCTGTGTTCAGTGTCACTTTAGTGTCTGCTACTATAAAACCGAAGTAAGAATCCCCTCTTTCTTCTGTGTTATTCATACTTTATGGTACAAGTTTGGATCCCCCTCTCTACTTGTACACTCTATTTGTACTTTCAGAAATACAAATTCTATGCTTCTAGGACACAAAACCTAGCACTTAGGCTAAATAAATAACATCATTTATCACCAGCATCTCTTTCCTGACTTTCTGGGGTTAGGCCCCAGGATACAGAGCTCTTCTTGGAAGGTCATCCTCCAAACTCCTTTTTGTTCACATTGGTAGCTGTTTAAGGTGATGATGTATTTCACTGTAAAGTTATTTGATGCAAATAGAATTTTAAAGTTCACATTGCTTTCTGGACATCAATATTTAAGTGATAGGCAAATTTAAGTCTTATACTTGTCCAAAATTAGGATTTTTTTAAATTTATTTTTTTTTTGACAGAACACATACAGACAGTATAAGCAATGAGTGTAAGTTTTGGTGAGTCATGGAACTGTAGTTGCAGTTTTGTTCCATTTGAGAATTTCCAAATGGATGATTGAAAGATGAGAAATACATTTTTTTTTCTCTCTGCTAAATATGGTATATTGTTTTGCTTTCCACTTTACTCCCTTGTCAGTTAGTAAAGATTGTAACTTAAGTTATCCTAAATTTAGGCTGAGACAGACTCTTGCTGATATTTCTGATGCTCCCAAGAAGGAAGCAGCAGCTGTTTCCAGCCCACTACATCACTAATCCTCCATGTCTCATCAGTAATGCTCTGCAGTGGTTGTGGATTCTATATTTTAGCTCAAAAGCAGGGGGAGAAGGCATTGCTAGTGTATTACAGCATAGTTGGAGCTGAGCTTAAAACAAATACTGAAGAAATATTGAACACAACTGAAATACTGCTGCACAGACTTCTCAGTGTTGTGAGGTCATGGCCTACTTTGAGCTTTTACCACTGAACAATGGAGGTGAAGTGGTGGTGCAAAGTCCACCACAGAGTCAAGAATCTGCTTGCCTCAGCTGGCCTCAGAGCAGGCTCTGCACTCGCATCTGAAACAAGCAAGCTCTGTTTTTTTCTGATTTTAGCAGGCTTGTAGCCACTTACCCAAATTGAGGATTTATCCAAAAAGCTCTCAAGATCACATGGTGAGAAATGTGAGCAACTGAGTTGTGCTTTTGAAACAAAATCTCAGAGAGCAAGTGTTTACATGCCTTAGATCCTAAGAATGAATATTTTATTTCTTGCTCTAAAAGAAATAATTTCTGTTCCCAAAGGTAATGGAGTGGTTATACATTTACCAGGCCTGTTTGAAGAAGCTGAAAAGAATGAAAAGAAAGGTTGGTATCAAGTAATTTTTAACCTTTCTTTACCTTGGGAGCCAGGTTGAGGGGGTGCCTTTGTTTCTGACTAAATATTCAGTGCAACACCATTCTGGATTTTAAATAATGAGGAAAACATTATTTAAAGTGTGGAATAGTGTTGTAGTTTTCAGACAGTTTTTTCTAAAGTAATCTTTTAATGGATTTTCAGGAAGTTATATGGAATTTGATACCACGTTAGATAGAAAATAAAATCCTAAAGTTTGTGGCAAAACACCCTCTAACCTCAAACTGAGATGATTTAGCGCAGAGTTTCCGTATCCTGATTTCTGTGCCCGGGGATAAACTCAGTTGGTTCTGCCCTGGGCGAGGCTTTCTGAGGTACCAGTGGAATGAGTGATTTATCATATAGTGAGTTAAACGAGTCTTTCCTTAAAATGAGAATTGTGTGTAAGCCACAACATTTTGGCATCAAGAAGAAGTGAGTGTCTTGGTCCATACCAAAATGAGAAAGCTGAAAAAGTAAAAAGTGAGAGAAATTTGCTAAGAGAAACATTGCTGTAATTGGATACTTGAGAAGAGGAGGCTCTGGAGAGGCCTTATAGCACCTTGGTACTTGAAGGGCCTACAGGAACGTTGGGGAGGTGTTTTTTCCAGGGCTTGTAGTGAGAGGACAAGGGGGAAACTGATTCAAGCTGAAAGGAGGTATATTTAGATTAGGTTTGAGGAAGAAATTCTTTACTGTGAGGGTGGTGAGGCGCCAAACAGGTTTTTCAGAGAAGTTATGGATGCTCCATCCCTGTAAGTGTTCAAGGCCAGATTGAATGGGGCTTTGAAGAACCTGGCCTAGTGGGAGGTGTCCCTGCTCATGGCCAGGGTTTCAGGACTAGGTGACCTTTAAGGGCCCTTCCAACCCAACCCATTCTGTGTTTCTGTATTCACTAAAATTTTATTCATTTTGCTGTATAAAGTAGAAGAGAAATACAGAAAAGCTGAAAGCAAATCTTAAAGTTTTACCCGTCAGCACTGCTGAAATCCTGCTTTTCTTTTTATCTTCTAACAGGTTTAAAAGACTGGGAGAAGAGACTGATTATATCAGATAGAGCACATATAGGTAAGTAATGATTGAGGGGTTGGAAACACTCACAAATGATTGCTTAGCTCATGATGCTAAACTACATTGTTACTCACAGGGCAGGCAAGTATTTGATCTAATAAGGATTCTTTCTGTGTTGTGTATCTGAAGTGTAGTAGTGAAATTTGTATCTGCTAAAGAGTGATGGTTTGTTTTCATAATCTTTAGGGAACGCTAGCCCTGTGTTCACATGAGGAGGCCTGTACACTATCAAGAAACACTTTGTCTTGAAATTACAGATATCTGTGATTTAAACAATGTTCTTCTCCTTTGGTCTCCCACTATGTCAATTTGATTTTCCATTGCAGTGTTTGACTTTCACCAGGCAGTAGATGGGCTCCAGGAAGTGCAACGTCAAGCACAAGAAGGAAAAAAGTAAATATTTTCCACATCCTAATTTAATTAATAATTACTCAAATTTGAAAATGGGGTGTAATTTTGGAAAACAGAAATGCAATGTATCTCTGAAGAGCCTTATTGAAGTTCCTGGTTCTGTGACTCTGTTCTGCCCCTGCTTATGTTACCGAACAAACTCAGAGGTATTACTAAGGAGGCAGGTATGAATTCTTACACATTTCCCTTCTCCAGTTCTCTGAAACATATAGAGATGTTTTGAAATGCCTACCAGTTCCTCAAAACTCATTTCCTTTAAAATGTTGTTTCCAATCCAGTTTAATATCAGACTACTGATGCTCTTTTGAATCAAGTCTGAAGTGTTGGTGTGATTAGTTTCCAATTGTTTCTTGTATATTCACTCACACTTTGTGGAGATATTAGATTCTGTTTTAATTTTAATCTTATACTTAAGCGGAGTATGTAACTATTTGTATTTTATTATTATGGTTCCTGAAAAAACAGATTTTATTTTTCTGTCTGTTAGTCTATTAGTTTTTTATTCCATTGGACAATTTCAGCGAAACTTAACATACAAATAGAGATCTCAAAATTAGTGTGTTTCAAAAATGGGCATGAAAATAAGCCTGTCAGTAGGGAAACAGTTTAATTTTTATCTTTATCAAGGTAAAAGCTGCAGCAACAATTCTTAGGGACAGAGATGGTGTGAATAATGCCAAAGCCATAGGAAGCCAGTTTGATCACTCACAGAACTGGTGGTTGTTTACAGCCATGGACAGTGCTGCAACTGTGAAAATGACATTTGTTTCTTACTGTTTCTAGTAGTAGTAGGAGTACCACCACAGAATAATATAGTAACCATAATTACTGTATAATATAGTCTATATATATATACACACTTTCAATTAAGCTTGGCTGAGCCAGGCTCAAGGCTCAGTACCTTACTGCATATGATTAATATTAACAATGTTTATGCAATTCCATAAAAGCTACTATATATTTAATATTACAGGACTTTAGTCTTTTTTTAAATGTCTCAGATCTTCTGCCCAGCATATGGTATATTGAATATGAATATTGAATATACCCAGCGTGTGGTATATTGAAGAGTTTTAACCAAATTGCTTAGCATAAAGCATATTTCTGCATTTATTTATATGTGTTTGGGGGGGTTTTTTTTAATTAGTATTGGCACAACAAAGAAGGGGATTGGACCAACATATTCTTCCAAAGCTGCACGAACAGGCCTTCGAATTTGTGACCTCCTTTCTGACTTTGATGAATTTTCTTCAAGGTACAACCATTTTCATTTCTAAATATTATGTTAAAGAGCAATACATTTTGGCTGACAGATTTGCTTTTAAGGAGATGTTTTGAAATAAGTGTCTGAATTTTGTATATAAATTGTCTAGAAGGAGAAGAAAGCTGGAAAGAATGTGTATTTCCTGTACATAATTTAAAGTGTAATTTTGTACATTAGGAAATGCCCTGGTTGAGGTATCCAAGTTCTGGGTATTTTTTTCCCTGTAGCTCTCAGTATATAATACTGTGTATAACACAAGCTGAGTTCTTGCCAAAGGTTCTATGAACAGTACCTCAAGAGTGTTCTTCATAGATACTGTTTCAATATTTTACAGATTTAAAAATCTGGCACAGCAATACAAGTCAATGTTTCCCACATTGGAAGTAGATATAGAAGGACAACTGAAAAAACTAAAGGTAAGGATTTAACAATTCAGTTTCAGGGAACAAAGAGAAGGAAACAGTTATATTTATTTTAATTTTAAAAGTGAAACATGAGTTACCAGAACTACAAATTGTTAAACTAATGAATTAATTTAAAGGAATTTAATATATTAATTAATATAAAACTTTTTAATAAGCAGCAGTTGTGCTTTGTATTGGAATGATATCTTATTATTGGTTTAAAAATAACTATGTAATAATATAAGTAACATATTAATCATATAATCTGTGGGTTCTATAATTCTAAAATATTTTGCTTTTTAACATAAAATAACTGTTGTATTAACGTAGCCCAGGGAACATAGGGTGACAGTTATAAATAGTAGTCTCCATCCATGACTGGTCTAGTTTGTCTGCAAGATTTCCATGCTTACTGAAGAGTTGTTTATAGAATCTGTGTTTCAAGATCCTGGCATTACAAGAAAAATACGCTTTTATAAATAAATTCAGAAGAGCCAGTGGAGTGAAACATCTTTTGTGAATATGTAAGAAAACAGAATGCTACAAAAAAAATCTCTTACCTTTCCCAAGTTTTGTCTGGAACTTGTTCAGAGCTGCTACCTACCTTTAAAGGTATTTCTTAGTATTTGTGAGTAGTGATTTTTATAATTTTTTTAAAATAATATTGTTTTCATGTTGGAGCTTGCAGTAGTTTATTCCCACTGTCAGTGTGTCTAGACTACAGACACATGATATGGAGACTATATCAACAAAATGAGGCAGGTCTCAACAACATCTCACTGACTAGAAATGCATCAGAAATTGTGGCATTCAAATGCCATAACAAGTCATGTTTTCTTTCATGAGTACTTTGATAGATTTTTTTTTTTCCAATAGAATATAAGCTAATGGTTGTATTTTTCAGCTACATTTATTGAATCTGGAGTGTTAGAGTTATCTGTATGTTTTGTGTTTCAAAAGTGAACACACTGTTCCCTGCTTCCTGCTGTTGTCTGGGGAAGCTGATGTATCTACTCAAATTTGCAGGGATATGCTGAAAAAATTAGACCCATGGTTCGAGATGGTGTGTATTTTATGTATGAAGCTCTTCATGGCTCCCCAAAGAAGATTCTCGTTGAAGGAGCCAATGCAGCATTACTTGATATTGACTTTGGTAAGTCAAATAATAAGATCAACTCAACTCCTAAGAGATGTGTTTTATTTTGAGTTTTATTTTGGTTTGTGTTCTTACCAGCTTTGTAAAGAGCAGGAGAATACAGAAACAAGATAATCTTTCCTTTAATAGGAACAGACCTCCCAAAAGTAAAGCAGAGCAAGCCAGAGATTGTATCATTAACAGGATTAAGTGCTTAGCATTTCAGTATTGATTTTTACTGAAGCTTATTCCAATGGAGATGAAATTTCACTCCAGATATTCTTGTCTTTATTACTTCTAAATGAGTGTGCACATTACCACATTTCAGGCACCCACTGCAGTGCTGCTGAAGTAATTCCTCAGCAGTGAAGGGAGGATGAAACTGGTGCATATAACTTGTAAGTGTAGCTTCTGCAGTTGATCTCTGCTCTTGTACCAAAAGTCTAATTAAACTACTTAGGACTCCATGAAGGTGAAGCAAAGAACCAGAGTGATGCTTCAATCCAGAGTCACAGTGTAAAGATCATAAATAACCTTTTGGGGCTTAGAAAATTTGCTGCGGATATTCAGAGCAACTTGTGTAGAGCACTGGGAATGTCAGACTGTTACCTTTATGCCAGGCTTCCCATGGATACTGCAGAAATACTTCCTGTGATACACAAGACAGTGAAAAAAGCTTTACAGAGCAGCAACATCCTGTAATATATCCAGTGCCTCATGGAAGTGGTATTGAGATGCTTTGAATTTCTCCCCTGAGGTTAATCCTCGGTGAAAATTGCAAAGGTTGAATGCAGAAGAGCTTACACCTTGGAACAGATAACACCTGCTTGATGCCTCTTTAAGTATAACCAAGTAGTATATTTTCATATTTTGCTCACTAATAATACGCTTATACAAACTGCCACAATAGGTCAGCTATTTGAGTGGAAAAAATCCTTCATTTTGGAGGGATTTCTGTGGAGGTTTAGAAATCTAAATACATATTCACTACAGGAGGAAGCAATCCAGAGAACAGCTTAATATTTTCCCTTAAAAAGCAAAATGGGTTTAGGCAACCAGGGGAATTTGCCCTGCTTATTGAGTTTAGCTTTAAAGGCAAACATAGAGATGAAAATACCCTTTCAACTCATAAAGGAAAAATCAGTCTTTGTTTCTTATCACGGCTGAAACAGGGTTGTGCTGTTGTGTTTTCTAACAGGCACGTATCCTTTTGTGACTTCATCAAACTGCACCGTAGGTGGTGTCTGCACCGGGCTTGGAGTTCCTCCCCAGCATGTTGGAGATGTGTATGGTGTGGTGAAGGCCTATACCACCCGGGTGGGAATTGGAGCCTTCCCCACTGAGCAGATTAATGTAGGTTTAATGTTATGAAATGTCATATATGAAGTTGCCAAAAAATAAGGTCAATGGAACGGGATATGGGTAATACCAGCCATAAATAGGCACCAAAATAATAATACCAGGCAATCACACTCCCAAAGAGAGGAGAATTACATTATAAATTAAAAGTATTTTTCCTTAGAAGAAGGAAACACAAGTGTGGTGGTGTTATACTGCAGTGACCACACTTCTGTTGTAATGAATGGTGTGAAAACAGGTTTCATAATTCTATGTAATGTTGTTAGGTGCATTTCAGTGGCAATTTTGTTGTCAACTGCAACTGTCAGTGCATTATGATTCAGTTGAACACCATTCATGATTATGCTTATGGATATTTGAATATAGTATTACGTGCAAAATAGCAACCACGTTGAAATAGCATTGCATGTCATTTTTGTCTGCATAATCCAAACCAAAATAAATAAACATGAAGGCTCTGGGGAGGCCTCAGAGCAGCTTTTCAGCATCTGAAGAGGGCCTACAGGAAAGCTGGGGAGGGATGTTTCACAAGGGCTTGTAACAAAAGAACAAGGGGTAATGGATTAAAACTGGAAGAGGGGAGATTTAGGTTAGACATTAGGAAGAAATTCTTTAGTATGAGGGTGGTGAGACACTGCAACAGGGTGCACAGGGAGGTTGCGGCAGGCCGAACCCTGGAAGTGTTCAAGACCAGGTTGGATGGGGCTCTGAGCAACCTGGTCTGGTGGAATGTGTTCCTGCTTGTCCAGAGGGATTGGAACTGGATGATCTTTAAGGTTCCTTCCAATCCAAAGCATTCTATGATTGCAGGAAAGCTTAAATTACAAGGTGCAATTTCTGTGCTAAACAGCCTGTGTTTTGTGTCATTTATAGAAAAAAAGTAGAGTGTGCATCAGCCAGTCATGCACAAATGGATCAATAAAAAGAAGGGGAGAGATTTGGATTCTTCTAAACTATCTATTGTATTTTCATTCTCAAGAAACTAGAAAGCTCAGGGTATTGATTGTGCCCTGTGCACAGGTCAATGTTCAGCTCAATGGTCCGAATCTAACTTGAATCACTAAAGTCATTCCTCTAATGGCTCAAATTAATTGGTAATACTTTTTAGTGCTATGAATTGTGAGCGTAAAGTTTCTTTTGTTTTCGTTTTTAACATCTTATAAATGCTCCCAGCCTGAAGGGAACAATTGGCAGTCCCATGCTGTGGTAGAACCTAGCAGCCCCAGGCATGGTCGAGGAGTCTGACCTAGACATTGTACAGGCATTGAGCTTGTCCCTGACTTCTACAGTCTTGTCCCCAAAAATAATAGATGCCAAAAGACCAGATGTAGAAACTAAATGCAGACAAAATTAAAAACAGGGCCTAATTGTCAAGGAGATCTTCCTGTCAGGTAAAGAAGGAAGAAAAGTATTTTCTTGGAATATGAAACAAGTATTTTGGAAATACAAAAATCCTCTGCATGTAGGGCTTCATTCCCTGCCTTAGTTCCCTCCTAAGAAAATTCATTTATTTTTTTTCTTGCTACAAAAAGCCTTGGAATTGAACAATTGTGTTTTTCTTGCTGTTCATCCATATTTGCTGCCATTTGTTTGCCTGATGTTTCTCAGTGAAATACCATCAACATTCTTTGTCTCTTTCTAGGAAATTGGAGATCTTTTACAGAACCGTGGCCACGAGTGGGGAGTAACGACGGGCAGAAAGAGGCGCTGTGGCTGGTTAGATCTTGTCATTTTGAAATATGCTCATATGATCAACGGATTCACTGCGTAAGCATCACAGATTTTGAGCTACATTTGGAAGGGATAATTTTGTGCTTCGCAGAATAAATATGTAGGTAACATTAATATCAGTCCAGTAGTGTTACGTTTTAAGCAATAAAATAATTCAGAGCGGGCAGCTGAGAATTGTCTTTGTGCTCATCATAATCTAATTCCTTTGACTTTTTTCTTTCAGATTTGTATCACGTCATAGCAGTGACTTTTTTCCTGTATTTGCATTTTGTTTAAATTAGATGGCCCATGTAGAAAACTCACTGGTTTTGAGCTTTGTCTGAGTCTAGGGGATCATACTTTGTAAGAGCAATTCTGCATTATTTGAAACAGTTATCTCTTGAAGTGAAATAAGAGGAATGAGACAAACTGTGCAGCAACTGGCACAGCTTTCACTCCAGTCCCAACAGGTTAATTTATTTACAAAATTGTAGTCTAATATTGTACTATAGATTCTGCTCCTAATGGGTTGTTTTATTTTCTTTGGGACTGAGCAACTTACTTGGTTAGTAAGTTATTTTGTAATTCAACATACATATTAAATTGACATTTTAAAGGAAAAGTGGCTGTTTAAATGAACTTTTCAAGGCCATAATGTCATCAAGCTAGCTTATGTGTAATGCTAAAATGCTAGTAACTATCACAAGCCATTCATTTATAACACAAGTTGCACAAGTTATATGAACAAAATTGTAATGAAAAGTGTAACCTCACTCATGCATTCAGGCAACTTCTTCATACATGCAAATGCATCACCCTGCCCCTTTTAATCTTTAAATCTTTTAATCTTTAAACTGAGACTTAATTTTGTTTATGCTGCTAATGTTACAGAGGAACAAATATCTTTGTTCATTAATTTATCAGAGGGATTTTTACAATATTTTTTACTTGGATTTATATTTTGCTGTGACTTCCACAGAGCTGGTTTATGTGGAAATAGTATTAGGAGTGCATTATGTTTCCCTCCATTTCAGTTCTATATGTTACTGTTCTTGTATCAACAAAACTATGTCATCTTTGGTAACTGTGACAGTTAAAAAACATGGGGAGATAAAAACTTGGAAAAAAGTTGAAGAACTGGCTCTGTGCTGCTTCTTTCCAAAAAGGTCTTTTAATTATTGCATTCATTATACTGAGCACATATAGCATGGAATATTACCCATACCTGTCTAAATCTTTAGCTACTCATATTTTTACCAGGTAAGATCTGGCATATTGTTTCTAGAGAATTTTACTAGTTTTAAAATGCAGTTGTATTCTGATCAGTGAATACTGTGGTGTCTTCTTGAAATTGCATTTTTGTGTTCCAGTGTGTTCATTCAAATGATGAAAAAGGTTTAGTAAACTGGCAACCCTGATGGCACAGTCTGTGCACTGGAAGTCAGGCTGGGATCTTTCCTAATTAACTGTATACTTGATTTTAATAGCAAGATTATGCTTGTGAAGTCAGTTTTGAAAGTGTGATTTAGTAAATAAATCTGTCTTATAGTTGTTGAATCAGTAGGAATAACAGAAATAATCACTAATAGTGATATAAAATGACATGCCATCATACACACCCAAACCAAGTCCAGTGAGGGCCATTGTACAGAGCTTTGCATTTTCATGTGCTGAACACTGTGCACCTGTATGAGCAGCCAGGCATTTGGAAATGTCTTAGTAACTCAGTCATCCAATAGACATGAATTCAATTAACAATGTTCATAGTTGAATGTATTTCTGTATTTCTGCTTGCTGGGTTGCCTGAGCTGGATTTGTGAATAAAAAAAACTAGAAAAAGAAGAAAAAAAAGGCAGTTGGAAAGTATTAAAGAGGAGATTTATCACATGTGTAACTTTAACCAATGTTTTTCTGTACAGTTTGGCATTAACAAAACTGGATATTCTTGATGTCCTGGATGAGATAAAAATTGGTGTTGCTTACAAACTAGGTGGAAAAAGAATTCCATATTTTCCAGGTATGTTAAGTATCTGTGTTCATTTTTCTCTTTCCTGCATGTTAAGTCATACCTGTTGGGAAAGACTCTTCACTTTTTAAAATCAGTCTTGACTGCTTTTTGGCTAGACCTTCTGTAGAAATTTGCAGAACTGTGATATCAGTATAAAGAACTTGCATCTGTCTGTATGATGACAAGAAATTCAGAGCAAATAAAATCTTGTGTTAGGGCCTCTGTCTTCCCGTTAGATTTTTTTATTGACAACATAAGGGGTCTGAAAGACAGCAAGGTTTCAGTCAGTGTCTGTGTATCGTTGGCAATAGCCTTTGAATTAAATTAAAGTTAAATCAGTTCTTAAGCTGTGCAAAAATGAGAGGGATACAAGCAGAGTGGAGCCGCCTATAGGCTACCATGGGCAGCTTTTTGGTTAATAAAAATATACAATGTCTCAAGAATATCATAGCATGGTTTGGGTTGGAAAGGAATTTAAGATCTAGTTGCAACCCCCCCTGCCATGGGCAGGGTCACCTTCCACTAGACCAGGTTGCTCAAAGCCCCATCCAGCCTGGCCTTTAGCATCCTTTTAAGATGTAGTAATATGTCATTTTCATACATTAATGATGCCTTACATTCCTGTGACAGTCTATGCCAGGATGGAGGGGTTTGTTCTCTTAAGATAAGGGATTCTAGAGGCACAGGGAGGGCTGACAGCAACCAGCTTTCCCACCACTGGTGGGAGTTACTGGCAGTGGATGGTAGCACAGTGAGAATTCCAGTGGGGAAAAGCTTGCAGACATACACATTTTTAGCAAGCTTGTTTTAATTCTGTTCCATGAAGGTGAAAAACTTTACACAAAAGTTGTGCCTTGTCAACAGAATTTGTTTTATTATGTGCAAATTTAATCAAAAAGTGGAACTACTGTGAACTTGAAGTAATTTGTTTCCTTAAAAATACTGCCATAGTCTTCTGAGAACATAGTGAATCCTAGGGTTTTGACAAGAAGCAACTGGATTACTGGATCCTCTTGAATCAGAGTTCTCTTCCTCAGTGACAGAAATGAAATTTAAGAGAAATTAATTAACCAACCAATAAAAATACTGTTTGTTTTGTTTATTGGATTTTAAATGTTGAAAGATTTTGTTGGTGAAGAACCATGGGTGTGTTCTTTAAGGTGGAGCAGCTAGAATCAACTGTGATAAAAATTGTTCTCCCACAGCTAATCAGGAGATACTACAGAAGGTGGAAGTAGAGTATGAAACAATGCCTGGGTGGAAGACTGACACAACTGGTGCACGAAAATGGGAGGACCTCCCACCCAAGGCCCAGAACTACATCCGCTGTGTGGAGAACCATGTTGGGGTGCCAGGTAAATGTTTCTGCAGATGTGAATATGAGGGTGTCACAGTAGGCAGGAACAGCTCTGTAGAACTGCTCCATTCTTTAGTCAGGGAGTGGCTGTGGGATAGGTGAATGAAGTTCCCCTCACTTTATTTCTCTGCTTCTCAGTGTGAAGGCAAGGTGTCTTGAGGGGTTTGATGGCTGAGGGAGACCTACCTGCAATCAGTTCTGTGGTATCCATGGGTAATAAAAACTGCAGTGGAACCATTATAATATGGTATTTGGGGTGGCTGCTGACACTGAATAATGCTTTTAGTTGAAGCATTACATTTAACAATATTATAGCATGTGTGCATCACTGTCTCCAGGTCCACATCAAGATGATTTCACACTCTGGCAGAGATTTCACTTCATCTCTGCAGGGATTTATCTAAACATCCAATCACTCAAGACAGTGACAAACCTGCAAAAAAAAGATGCCTTTCCTTCTGTTAGGCCTTCCAGCTACAATGGCATAATTATTTCATGCCTTCAAACTTCAATATGTTGCTCTTCTAGTTTGGTAGTGCAGCAGGAGTGAAGTGTTTTTTGACAGTAACACTTCCTAGCATTGTGCTTTAGAACAAAGTTCGCCAGTTTGTAGTGAAGTGTGATGAAAGGTGAAAATTATTCCAGTTCACTGATTATAATATTTACTCTCAGTAATTGATCTAATACATGTTTTTTCCTCCTTAGTTAAATGGGTCGGAGTTGGAAAGTCAAGAGAGTCGATGATCCAGCTGTTCTAAACAAATGAAGAACTTCAGTGACGAGAAGCACAATTTAGCCTTCATCTATTCCTTACTGCTTCCACTCTAAATGGAGATGCTAATTAAAACCAACATGTTCTTCTAGGAGTTGAATAGAAACAAAACATATATTCTGTCTTGTAACTCTTTATTTATCTTTAAGTTCTCTGTAAATTCAGTGTAAAATGTTGTTGGTGGCCATCATAAAAAAAAATCAAGAAAGTATTCTTAACAAAATAAGGGAAAAATATTTTTTTTATTTGAGCCATGCTACTATTTGAAAGTGTTTTACATCCATATAGAGTTATTCTCCTTGCTGAAACCAGTTTTAAGCCTTTTCCAGTAGTTACTGGGCAGCTTTAGAATTGTGAAGCTTGGATGTGTTTTTCAACTTCAGTTGTTAAACTGTCTATATATCTGGGTTGGCAGTAATTAGTCATACACACTTAAATTGTTTGGATTATACAGATTTTTGTTTTCTAAAATATAGTGATGTTAGGTATTTTTGACTGCACAAAACAAAAACAATTATCTAATTTTTATATAATGACTTTTAATAGCCCACTAAAATAAATTGAGAGCAGCTGGAGTATTTTTTTATCACAGACCCTGTTCTAGTAACTGAGATAACATCTGTAGAAAGTTGACTTGTCTAAGGATTCTTTCAAATTACCTGTGTACTAACAGACAATCCCAGTGGAGTCTATTAGGTGTGCTGTCTTTATTTTATGCAGTAGGCAGGGAGTGAGTGAAGGTGGGAGAATGAGGGTCCTTAGGGTACAAAACACACAGGGAGAGTGGAGCCAAGACAGCATGCTGTTTTTTCTTAGTGAACCAGAGACGTTTCTTCCTGCTAATGGAGTGATTGTAATTTCCAAAGTTTTACTGTAGTTATCTGTTGAGGAACTTGCAGCACCAGAAGGCACACTTGCTTCCACAGCTTCTAGGTTTCCAAGAATAAATCAACACATGACTTCATGATGACTGCTGAAGCATTTACACCCCTCACCCATTTTGACCTCCCTCAGCAAAATGTAATGGTTATTTATAGAAAGGGGTGACATGTGGCAGCCTGGGTTGGGATGTGTAGAAGCCATGGAGAGGTCCCAGAACCTTCAAGAATACACTTGGATTTCTTTGCGGATCTTCTGATTTATGATGGCTGTACTTCAAGAGCTCTCAAAAACAGGCCCACATCTGGTAGAGGAAAAAAAAGTACACAAGAAGTAGAGTTGTTCCCTAACTGTGGAATTTTCCACATAAGGTCTTCCTGTTCTATAGATGTCCAAGAGAGCTATAACAATATTCTTGTTTCATTCCCAGGGGCTGTTGAAATGGCATCTCAACCCCACTAATGCCATTATGTAGTGTGTGAAAATGTCCCTTTTCTGAGATGAGAACTCCAAGGGTACAAAATTACATTCTTTGCATCAGAGATGAGGGAAAAAGAAAAACCTTTCTGGCATGTCTTGTCATATTCATCCCCTTTGTCTTTTCTCACTCAATATTAATTGGTAATGTTCAAACCCATTAGTGTCAAGAAGTAATTACAAAAGCACTGATATGCACACATAGCAGGCACTGAAGTTACCTGTTTACAGATGTATTCCTGCTTGTAGGGCAGAATTCTTACCCTCTGGCTGCAGTGCAGTCTCTTCATACCCCAGGTCATCATCAGCTTTATCCTGCCATCAATTACTTACCTCTTAAAAACAAACAAACATAGTGCCCAATGCCTTGAATCCTTAATTCAACTACAGCTCCAAATAATTTGCAAAACAGGAGCAAGGAGATCAGTGTGTAAAATGTCCATTAGGAATACTGCCTCACTTTTAAACTGGTTTTTGGGTATTGATGGGTCAAGCCCTGCAGTCCTTGCTCTGATGTTCATGAGGAAGCTCTCCCTGTTGGATTTATGGGTGTTCTAGGGAGAGAGTGATGAGATTTCTGACCTTATCTGATGTTTGCAAAGCACTCCTGAAAGGTGCTTGGTAAGTGCTAGTTATTACAAGCACTGTGAAGTGTGCCTCATTTATATGAGGTCACTTGAGCATAAAGATACTTGGACATACAGTAAGTAAGTTGGTTTTTTTTCACATGGCTTAACCTTGTGACATTTTCCTACTAGATGATCTAGAACGGTTCCTTTTCTTGGCCCCATCAGTGCAGTTGTGTTAGAAGGTTGCTGCTATATTTAGGCTTTGGTTGATTTATGGGCAAAGTCCACAATGACTAACAAGCCACTTGATGTGCTGAATAACTGGATTAAATTATCAACTCTAAATGAGGTATTTCACATATTGAAAAAAAATAGGTTTTATAGTTTAATTTTCACAGGATTACTTTCTCTTGTCCACCTAATCTTTTTATTTTCCATTAAGTAATTTTTCCATTAAATCTCCTTTAGATCCACATTGCTTGTCTTTGCTTTAAAGGATTTAACAAAAGCCCAGTGATGTTGTCAATGGGCATGATGCAATAGGCAATTATGCCGTGACTTACTCTGCTACCATAAAAACATGATCATGCATTTCATTTCATAGCATGGATTTTTTTTAAATGACAGTCCTATTTCTATTGAATTTCATTGAGTTAAATGTGAATAAGTTGAGGCTTTTATGGAAAAGCTCTTTAATCTACTGAGTGACATAAAGCTTTAAGAGAACATTTTAACGTAAATTTGCTTTCATTTTGGCTATTTCACTTATTATTTTGTATTGTTTGGAATTTCATTTTAATAACAAATCACTGTGACATCGTCTTTCTCTCCAGCCAAATACAATAATAATGACTAAAACTGGTTGGTGTACCATCCTGTGAGATACCTGGATGGAAGAATAAGGGTAAGCATCTTCCAAAATGCCATAATTTCTGATAAAGATTATAGTTTTTTTAAAAAGTAGCAGTTAGATTCACTCATGCACATTAATGCATTTGACGTATTTTCTGACACCCTTCTGATATGGCCTTCATAGCCAGGTGTGTGCTTCCTAACACTTGCAGTGTAGGATTCTGAAGCTTTTGTAATTTTTCATTTGGCTATAAATGGTCTTACAGTTCTGGCATAATGCACTTTATAACAGGAAAGAAAATTAAGCATTTCCATAGTAACATGCAAACTATAGTTAAACCTTATGCAGATTTTCAGATTAATTTTGAATCCACAGTGTTTACTTTGTCCTAAAATACACATTAAACCAAATTTAAAGTAGCAGTGCTTGGTCTCTGTTTCTCTACTTTTTTTTTTTTTTTTTTTTTTCTTTTTAAATACACTTCATACAAAAACCTGGTTCATTATTTCATAGATTTAAAAAAATAACTACCAGCTTTACTGAGTGAATGGCTCTTTTCTTTCAGACCACAGCTTCTCAGTGTTTGGTCTTTTCTGTAATACATCATCTATAAACTTTGTCACACTTTCCTGTTTACTAACTGAGCAGGGATCCACTGTCACCACTGGGGATTCATAGTCATCTTTAGTTAGCTCATCTGAGTCAACAGTGGTTTTATGAAGAAAAAAACCCATCTAACTAATACAAAAATGTACTTGCCATGCCAACTGGCTCAGAGCAACTGATGTGAACTCCATGGAGCTCTTTATGGACAGCACAGTGCTAGGAAGGAAAGGTAGGTACTGGCTCAGATAACATAATTATCACACCAAAATGTGGGAGAACTTCAGACACAAATACTGTCAGGGCTTTCAGAAGCCTTCATAGAAATCACCTGTCCAGTAAATGATAGGTTAATACACCATTCAGCACAGTGAGAGCTGTATGAGAACTGGTCTGCTAATTAATTTTCTTAATTTCCTTTGCATCAGTTATGTATATAAATTCACGTAGAATGGTCTTTGATAGCTGAAGAAGTTTCATCCAACTCCACATGTCACTGGCATTGCCAAAGGCAAAAACACTTCAAAACTGAGAGAGCCTCCCTTTGCTGAAATAACCCACCAGGAAGACACTGGTTGGTTACTGGTCTGTCTGTTGTCTGCCAGCTGGAGAGCTGGGTCTTACAACTGGAAGGGAGAAAAGAATATGATAGACTGGTAAAAATGGGAACAATGTGCCTGTCTTGCCTCTGGAGAGCTGCAATTAATAGCAGACATTGCTGCCCCTCCTCTCTTCTGGTAATACTTCTCAGGGTGTCAAGGTCTAGGCCCTTCCTTAGTCCTTATGGAAGGGGCCCAGCTTCCTCTACAGTAATGTCATAGGCATCAGCTGGTTTTAAGTGATGGATGTTTGCAAAAGGGATGAGCTGACATCACTCGTAACAAGGCATCAGGCAAGAAAAATCCAGCTCCAACCACCTTGTCTTCAGAGGAGGCCCCTGTTTGGGGTGCAGGCACTGCATGAAGGGAGTAGCCTGTGGAGCTGTTGGATACTTATTTAAGGGAGTTTGGTAAAGCAAATGGCCTACTGGGCTATACCAGGGGGATAGTGGCCAGGAGATGGAGGGAAGGTATTTCCTATTATTCATGTTGGTGAGCGGTACCACTGATTCATGCTAAATGTCCACTGCTGTCTGCTGTGGTGGCATGTTTTATGTCCTTAGTAAAGCAGTGAATAAGAAGAGAAAAACTGAGGAGATAATGTGACATTCTTGTCTCAAGAATCTGCCTTGCTACAGATAATCCTAGCTACAGTCCCATGCATCAGCTCCACACAATCAACTTTACTGCTTACTTAGCATCCTACAGCATCAGAAACAGGCAATGCTGTGCCAGTTTTTAACTTTGCATTTTGAACTGTAATCTGCTGCTGCTTAAGCTGATCCAGCCATTGAGGCTGTGCCCTTGTAGTGGCTTCATCCCTCACTACAGTGACTTTTATCACTGTTCCATGCTTTGGTTTGCACTATGAAATAGCGCACCCAGCGTGAACGCTGGATTCCTTTTGTATGGAACTGAACCAAAGATGCTCTCCAGTAATGCTCCAGGTGCTACTCAGAGTTCAGTCCACGGGACCACACAAAAACTGGTTAGAAGCAACCATCCACCTACAGTACAGATGGGCTCCTGAGCACCAACTGCTTTACTTATTTGTTCTTGTAGGTCTACACTGCTTGCTACTACAGACACAGCTTGTGAACATCATCTGTTCCATCTCCCCTTTATTCCCTTACTTGTTCACTTTATACTAATCCCTATTAACTGATTATACCCTATATGGTTCTATATAAAATGCCTTAAGTCTTAAGTATATTATAGCCACTGCATTTTCTTTGTTCATAAAATCAACTACTACCAAAGATACTCTGGAGCCATCTATTTTTAAGTGCATTTTGCATTTTATCCCATTTTGCATTTACCTCCATGTTTTTAGTTAGCCTTTCCTTGAAAACACTGCTGAAGTCTTTGAATTTAGACTATTACCCTATGGTTAACAGGGTCTATGGTCCATTGCTACCATCTAAGGTCTATGATTAACCCTCTGTTGTCAGCAAAATTTTTTTCACTGCCTCACTTTAAAGTATTAGGTTTTCAGTTCTCAGATAATATAATACCACTCTCAACTCAAAAGGTTATTAGAAGCATTTCTTCCTGATCACAATTGTGTAGACCCTTTATTTCATAATTCAGGAATGCAGTTTATAGCTGTACCAATCATGTCTATGTGAGATAAAATAGTTTGAAGTTGTTTATTGAGTAAAGTTTCTATCTCTATCTTCTAAATAAAAGTAGTGGAAAAGGTAACTCATACATCAAACCCATTTCCTGAGGATTTGGTTCACTGATTTTAAGTCTGTACATTCTGCAGACAAAATAAGAATGATCAGTGATCTGTATTTGCCTGTACTTTGTAGTGAAATAGAGTGCTGGACAAAGAAGCATCTCCAACTTTTTCAGAAGATCTAAGTTGGAATTAAACGGCAAGCAAGCCCATGCACTGCAGTGCTGAGTGCTGAACTCATCCAAAAGAAGAACCAGTGTCTGGAACAAACACTGGAGGACTATGGATTTTGAAGAGCTGGGAAAAATCTAGTCAATTATTCTATGGCAATATTACAATTTTATATTTGCACCAGTTTCAGTGGTGATATATTTGTGTGTGTGTGTATACACACACACATGCACACATATATATATATGTACGTAGCCCTTCCTTGAGTTTAGGTAATGATAAAGAATCAGTATTAAAAACATTTAAATGCTGAACACCTTCTCTATCAATCTGGAGATCTTCCAGATCTTGAAGACAGGAAAGATACAGAGAAGAAAAGAAGATATAATTATACCACATCTCTGTCTTCTCTGAAAGTCTCATGCAGGAAAAAAAATAGAAAGGAAAAAAAAAAGGAAAATGAATATACATATCAGGAATGTACTGAGCATAAATATATATAGAATAAGTTATAATGCATTTTATTATACATGAAAAAGAGGTCAAGTGGAAGAAATAGAAGATGTAAGCTAGTTAAGGTGTTAAAAATGGGATAAGACATTTTGTCTATTAGAGATTGATTTGCACCAGACTACATAATTAAAATCCCAAAGCAGGTATTGATGGAAGTCTGAGCCATACACAAAATGTATTGTTGATTTCCATCCAGAGGAAACATGCCAGCAGCACAAACAAGTGTCTTTCTATTAATTGGCTCCCTTGATGGTAGGCCTACGACTGCTCATCACTTTTATAGTTTACAGCACACTCCTCATGCAAACTGCTCAGCAGAGAGCAAAGAGAATGAGTGCCTTCAAGACTTCCAAGTGTAAACACATTTCAACTGAAAAGGCTTTACTGAGAAAATTTCCACATTAGTCCCAGTGATGGTCCCTGTAGCTGTAGCATGTTATCCTGGCAATGTTCAGGGGCTCACATTGACTCTGTGCAACTCCTGCTTTCTGGACAGAGATCCTCTCTACCCAGGATTGACAACACAGCCAGACATTTAAAATAAACACACTTCGTGGGCTGATGCTGGGGAGCTGCTGGTTAGACACAGGCAGTGCAAAGAGCCAACTTCTTAACCAGCATGTGCTGACATAGTCCCTTCCAGATGAATGGAGGTACTCTGGGTTATTCCAGGAAAACTGCTCTTTCAGGAGTGAATAAAGGCCAGCATGCAGGGAACAACATAAAAAGCTCTTAAGGCTCATTTCCACAGCAAAATGACAAGACCAGTGCTAGATGCAGCTGCAGTGAGAAGTGAGTTCTGCCCAGTCTTTCCCATGCCGTGAGGTAGAGGGTGTTTTGTACTGTGTGGGGCTAGTGCAAGGGCAGAGGTACCCCTAGCCTCTCCCAGGTAATTCCACATTAAATTATGGAATAGCACCTTTTAGACACAGATGTAAAGAATTCCGAGGATCATCACCTAGTATTAAATGAAAAACACTGTCACCTGCAGAGCAAGAATTCAGAGCACCGTGACACCAGATTAGGTCAGGAAGCGCAGTTGCCACTGCCAGGGCTCAGTTTCCTCTTTTCTTTATAGATTAAAATAGTCTGAGAAGAGGCAAAACAAAAGGCAATCGTGTGCAGCAGAAATGAAGGCACATAACTGGAAAGGCCAGGAACAACAACCACAGATTAAAAAAAACCAAAAAAACCCCAACACGACAACAACCTGAAGAAAGCAGCCTCTTGGTGAACCTTGCACATGGCTGTCAGCAGAACAGTAACAACTTTCCAACCATTTTGGTTTCCCAGCAGTAACCATTTACAGTCTTGAGAGTGCCCTCTAGTGTAGGTGGGACCTTTGAGTGGTTTGATCTACGTGAGCAGAACTGGTGTATCTCCTAGCTGGCAGCACAGTAACATGCTACGAAATTCAACCACACCAATACTAATTTAAGAGTGAGCACTGGCTGCTGTGTCACCAGGGCTGAACTTTGGCTTGGCAGCAGCATACTTCTAGAGCCAATCCTTAATCCTGTGCATCACTGGCTTATCAAATGTTTTTTGATGGGTGAACCAACTCATCAAGATGAGGGCATGAACTCTGCTGCTAACAAGTCACAGTAAAACGACAGGCACTGGGGAGCAGATAAGGTCTATGCTGCATGTAGCCCTTTGATCCGAGTTGTAAACATGTTGTCTGTTAAGGCTGACGTGCTACGATACGAAAAGGAAAGGGCACAGAAGAAAGGAAGCAGCCCTGTGTCATTCTGTTCAAGGAGGTGGGTTTTTTATCTTCAAATCCATATTGTAGAGCACAGAAAGAAGGGAATGGTGGGACTGGGTGCACAGGGCACGGTGCTTTGCTCCAGTCCTCAGAGAGGATGTGTGTGCCTCCCGATACTCCAGCTGCACGCTGGCACATGGCCAACTAGAACAGCTGCTATAATATATATTCCACTTAAAAGCATCTCCAGAATATTCTTTTCACTGTTTTATCATTAAAATATTAGAAAAGAATCAGAGAGGTGGGCAAAACCCATTCTTTTTATACTAGAACAAATCGAGAGAAATTGTTAATTAAACCCTCGAGTTGAAGGGGGTTTGCTTGCTTGTTTGTTTATTTAAAGAGTCTCACCTCTAGTTAATATGTTTCCATTTAATTCTAAACAGCCTAATAATGAAAAAAATAGAATCAATGGTGAATTTTTACTACAAGCACGTGGAGGGGAGGGCTTTGGTATAAATGAAGCTGGAGAGAAGGACACAGTATTTTTCAGGCCGTCC